CTTGTACCAGAAATTCGAATTGCGTAAATACACTATTACCAAATACATAACACGGAGAAAGATTCATTACATTATCCGTAAAAATTCTCCTCGTATCGTTCCATTCCAAAAAACAACGCAGAAATATCAACGCGTTGAAATCGATTAAGATTCTGACAATTCTCCGAAACTTGTTAAAAAAAAAAAAAGAAGAAAAAACGAAATTGACTTGAGGGAATCAGAAAAAAACCCGAGTTTCCAAGTTTTTGAAAACTAGCGCTAGGCGATCCCGCTCGACTCATCGATTTTGGCCGGAGATGTCCCGTGGGCTCCATATAAAATATATCGAAAAGATAGGAAAAAATGAAAGAAATCCCTGATTCCTCGTCGATTTTTAGACGGGGAGGAGTTTTCTCCTCGAACTCGTTCCGAACGAAGTTTCGAAAGAATCGTAATCACAGTGGGACCTAATAAACTATTTTCGCGATTCAATCGAACTTGCCGGTAATTGGTTTCGAAACTTTCGACAAGTTACAAACTGTCAAAATAAAACGTATATTTTTAAAACGTGTGCGTTCAATTCGATATTTGAAATAATTGCGGAAGAAGGAGCAGACATTGTGCTCCGATATTGCACGATATAATTTTAATGCTAACAGATCGATTTTCCCTATTAACCGTTACGCGGCAAGTAGCTAAATGAAAATTATGGGATAACCCGATAGCGATAATAGGATGGCTTGGCCCAACAATTTCACCAGCCATATGCAACCGTGCGAAGTTTAATCCCTGTATTACAGGGGCGAGAATATAAATAGAAATATAAATAGAATCCTTAATTCATATTTACGTAATTTTCATATCTTCCATTTTTATAAGCGAGATACAAATATCCAAGATTCGATTAAATCCGTGAATCGAAACGTCTCTCGTAAAACTCGATGGATAATTAAAAATATTATATTACGTGGAAAAAGTGGAACGTTGTTGAAAATCTATAGGTATGTACAAATTTTGGTAAATTTCTTACCAAAATTTATGTGTATGTGCGATGCATGGGATTGTAAAAAACTGTGAGTAAATAATAAAATTGGAAATAAATGTTCTTCTTTTTTCTTCTTTTTTTATTTTTATTTAACAATGTATGCACAAATCTTTTTTTTTTTGCGCATCGTGGAAAGTAACTGAAACTTTCAGAGCATGAAATGTTTTCTTTGCGAAGATAAATGAGAATTCGCTTTAAGCGTTAAAGTATCTTCGTTAATTGGCCGCACAAAGGTTGATAATATTCCTCGTTCGACCATTGTATCGTATCCAATTATGTTATTAACGGTTTAAAAAGCCGCCGTGTTTATCGAATCGAGTTCACCTTTCCAACTTACTTTCGAACAATCGTCTCTATTAAGATCCAATTGTAAAGACAAACTCGCTTTAAATCTTTCGCCATTAGAAATTAAAAATTGAAACGCACAAGTTTCAAATTTAATCTACGTATTTTTCAGCTTTCCACTAGCTTTCCATTCGTAAAAAAAGAAAGAAAAAAGAAAAAAGAAAATATTCTATTGCTGAAATAAAGAAATAAAGAAATATGTGAAACGATTAAACATATATTCGTATCTCAATAATCGATCAAATTGAAATGATCAACAAACTCTCTTTAAATCTTTCCCTTTCAGTTTTAAAAATTGAAACACATATTTCAAATTTAATCTACGTTCCTTAGCTTTCTATACTTTCTATTCCTAAAAAAAAAAAAAAAATAATAATAATAATATTCTGTTCCTGAAATAAAGAAAAAATGATTAAATATATTCATATCTCAATATTAAATGATTAACGACTCAATAATCGATCGTAAACAAATTATCAACTTCATAGATAATAAAGCAGGAATCGAATCTCGATATCACTCAATTTAATCGCTATAATTTCCAGATGATAAACGATTGAGAAATATATTTATATGTACATATATACGCTACAAAGAAAGGACGAGGTTGGAGAACGATGTGGAATGACGCAACGAGACAAGTTGTCGATAGAAAGGTTGTGTTGTCCTCTAACACAAGTAGAGAATGTTCATGGATGAAGGTCACGCGTCTGGAGCGGAAGAGGAAGCGGAGGTGGAAAAGAGATCGAAAAGGAAGTGAACGCTCGACCAAGTGAATTTACATAGGCGGAAAGGAAATCTCTCGATGTTTCGATCACGTGTATTCGGTCTTACTCTGTCCGCGTGGTATGCAGGACAGTAGGTCGACATTCTCGTCTCCCCTTCTTTCTTATTTCCTTCTATCTCTCTCCCTCTCCCTCCCTCTCTCTCTCGCTCCTCCATCGCCAGTTTCATTTTTCCGTTTGACTTTTTTCTCCCTCCCCCCTCTTTCTCTGTTTCAACGGCAATGTAATATTTTAACGATGCATTCAACCGTACGAAAATGGTTATTAGAGACGGTCAAGGATGCTTTAATCCATGGATTCTCAACTTGATGGAGCGTCAAGGTGGATCGAAGTGGAAAGAAGAGGTTATTGTGATTGTCGTTTTATTTATTGCGATTATTTTATTATACTTTACAAGAATAATATTAGATATAAATTTATAAGGATTAATTTTTAAAGGCGATTTTTAGGCGCAAGAAGGAAGGGGAAAGGATTGCGAATAATTGCAAAAAAGAAAACGAAAAAAAAAAGGAAAAGATTGGGAGACACTGGTTTAATCGAACAGATACCGTAAATACACCGAATACTCGATCCCCTCGTATAATTCCAGTACCGTTTCACGAGTCTGTTATGTGTATGCCCTCCTTGCATATTAACGCGCAATTAATGGAATGCAAAAGACACATACGATACGAGTATATTTTGCCAGAAATTTCGCTTTAATTATCCTATGCATAATTTTACAACGTTATGACGGTGCTTCGTACCTTTTGATCGCTCTTTTCACCAATTCGCTTCGTGTCACGTCGCCGGTTCTTCTCGTGCCGTCCCTCTGCTATCCATAATACATACTTAAAGTTATTTAAGTGGTAACTGTATCGCTCGACTGCTCGTTTCGCTTTACAGAGGAACCTTATTTTCTAATTATATTCCTCGAAGACTTTTCCTTCCTTTTTGCCTCTCCTTTTCTCCCTCCGTTTCTAAGATTCTCTTCCCTGTTCTTTGTTATCTTAACATCATCTTCCTAAGCATTCATTATCTTTATTTCCCAAGCTAGTTCATTTATCCGCGTGATGCTCGTCCAGTTCTGTCATTTTTCTATCCTTCTTTTTTCTTTTTTGTTTTCTTTTCTTCATTTTTCTATTAATACATTCGAGAGCAAAATTCAATTTGTTGTCAATTTTATATTTTTTTCGCGAATAAACATTGCATTAAGAGACGTTTTAAAGAAATTTTAAAAGCAACTCTCGAAATTTTTATTCTCAAACGTATTCGAATCTTTAAGTATCTTCACTCGACAGCACTTAATCGTCCAAAGAGTACAGTACAACTTTCAATTACATCCACGCGAGAAAGATATATCGTTTCACCAATAAAACGAAGCGAATAAGCGAATCATTGCGATCGAAACATTCAGATTGCCAGCGAAACGATGCAATACTATATATACTATATATACTCGTTGTCATAAAATGAACTTTTTCTACAAATATACTTCATACCGACCGATCAACGAACCGAGACACGAAATGTTTCCAGAATATTTTCAAAGGAGCTCGAATTTCTTTTTTTTTTTTTTTTTTTTTTTTTTCATTCCTGTATAGTTAGAAATATATGTATCTCGATGGAGTTAACAGCGGGAACGAGGCGACGAAACGACGACGTGCTTGGAGTACGTTTCTCGCGGAAGAAAGTGGAGGAGAGGGAGAGAAGGAGATAGAGTGTTACAGCCGTCGGGTGTACAGGTTGCCGATCTCTCTCGTGAGAGCCATCCACGCGATTCCCTCCGTTTCTCCCTCCCTGAAGCGAGGCACGGAGGGGCCGTGCGCGTGATCCTCCGAGAGACGAGAGCAAGGATTTCGTTGTTCGCGCTTCTTGAAGACATGTCGAATAGGCCGTCGGGTTTCACGGCTGTCGAGAATTCGTTCGTTCGTTGGTGCGATAATTGGTGTTTCGATCAACCATTAAAAGCTTTTTTTCGAGATTTTTCGCAAATTTTCACGTTATACTTCACTCCTCGTATCCTGCATCCAACGCTATCAGGAATTTTTCTGGAAATTGCATCGTACTTCATCTCGATTCGATCGACTATCGGAGAATTTTCGCAAGTTTTTTAAAATTATATATATTTACCATATATTTCATGCTCAATCGTCCAACTGATTAATTAATCCGCGAATTTTCATAAATTTTTCTGAAAATTTAAATTAATTTACGATAATTTAAATTATCGTATATTTTATCTTGGTCATGTGTTTGTCCAGCCGATTAATTAACCCGCGAATTTTCATAAATTTTTCTGAAAATTTTGGTGCATTTCAGTATCGATAACAAATTCCATTGTACAATTTTATTTTCCTTTTGGAAACGCTGTGATAACCGCGTTTGTGCATAACGTTAAAAAAAAAGGATACATTCGATTCGGTATCGTTTTAAACGCGCGAGTGTTTCGATTATTCTGTTTCGAAAAGTTGATCGATCGATCGTTGCAGAAGATAGGATTTTCGTTGCAGGAATACGAGACGCGAGATCCTGCGATAATTAATCGTATTTGTCGATAAATCCTGATAAATTGAAATTTAACGCCACGTTACGGCCAGCCATCGAAAGCTTTTCACGCGTCTCTTTCGCGACTAACGAGCACCGATTTATATCGATCCGCTTTTAACAATTTCAAGAATAGATTCTAATTTAGATTGTTGTTCGCGACTAACTAATCCTTTTCGTTCTACGTGCCTTTATTCTCTTGCAAATTGGTTCGATTGAAACGATCTTCCTTCGAAAAATAAAAGTTACTCGAAAAAGAGTGAATCCTTCGAGTTCTTATTAATGATTATTTAATGGAGACGAAATTTGAAAAATTTGAAATTGAGCAATCGTGATTAGAGAGAAGTAATATTGTGATTCGCCTGATTCGAGATTTCTCGTGTTACGAGAAGGAAATCTAGAAAAAGGAAAAGAAAAAAAAAGAAAGAAAATATCTCGAATCGATTCTTCTTCTGCCCGACGTAGAAGAAGAAGAAAGAACATTTTCCAACCTAATCCTCGGATCGAGTAATATTAATCTCACAATAATATCGTAGAAAATTGTCGAGTGGAGGAAGCTCGTGAACCGGAAATTGTAAAAGATAGGACGTGTCTGTCTTTGAAAATCGTCGAAAAGGGATCGAAGAAAGAGAGAGAGAGAGAGAGAGAGAGAGAGAGAGAAGTAGAGGGAAAAGGCTGAATCGAAATTATTCGATTGCTCGGATCCGGCGAGGGGAGAAGTGGGTCGGTCAACCCCGAGGCTATAGGCCAGCTCGAGTTTCGTACGGGATGATCGTACGATCGGCCGTTAGAGAAAATCGTGTTGTAGCGTAAGGAAGCAAGTTGGTGGTCCAAGGGTCACCGCTCAAAATGACTCGTCCTTCTTTCGACTCTCGATGAGCCTCTCGAACTGGGAAATCCACCGGGAAGCGAAGCGGAGTGAAACTTACTTACCTTTCCATAAAAGTTGAGGATTTAAAAGGGGGAAATGGAAAATTCCCTCGAATCGAGGATACGTTGAAGTATGTGAAACGAGAAGAAAGATTGGAAACGAGAAAGGAGGAGACGAGGATTGGAAAAGAGCGGATTGTTTCTTCTACTTGGTTGGGGGGATAATAAGGGGGGAGCAAGAGAGTGGAGAGTGACAAGGGTGAAGTCAAAGGTAAAGGAAGAGGCAGGGAATCATGAGCAGGCGAACCATGCCACCGAATGGATTGAATTCCTGCGAGAGAATAAGGCCGGAACGACCCAGGAACCCTATCCAAAGACTCGTGTGGGGTCCGGGCTCTCAATTTCAAGTCGGTCAAATCGGCTTGGCCGAGGACGACGGCTCTAATCCCCGAATGGCTTTAAGAAGGTACGTATACACATACGTGTAATCGTTATTAAACTTTTCCAACTTAATGATTAATGAAAACAAAAATAGTTGTCGTTCCCAATAATTGACACATTCGGTGTGGATGATGCGATATATAAAAATTTCCTATCCTGTCCCGGTTGACGTGAAATTTTCTATCCTGTCACGGGTGACATAATATAAGAATTCATAAGAATTTCTTATTCTGTGATAAGTAACGCGAACGTACGCGTCACAAGGATTTCTTATCTAATGACGGATGATATGAACGTATGCGTCATAAGGATTTCTTATCTTTTGGCGAATGACGCGAATATACGCGTAATAAAAATTTCTTATCCCGTGACGGGTGACGCGACCGTATGCATCACGAGGATTTTTGTATCCTATGACGAATGACGCGAACGTACGCGTCATAAGGATTTCCTAACTTGTGACGAATGATGCGAATTATTATTTAATAATGATGACATGAACGTATGTGTCATAAGGATTTCTTATCTCTTGGCGAATGACGCGAACGTACGCGTAATAAAAATTTCTTATCCTGTGACGGGTAACGTAAACGTACGCGTCATAAGAATTTCTTATCCTGTGACGAGTGATGCGGACGTACATGTCACGAAGATTTCTTATCTTATGACGGATGCGTCATAAGAATTTCTTATCTTTTGGTGAATGATGCGAACGTACGCGTAATAAAAATTTCCTATCTTATGACGAATGCGTCATAAGAATTTCTTATCTTTTGGCGAATGACGCGGACGTACGCGTCACGAAGATTTCTTATCTTATGACGGATGCGTCATAAGGATTTCTTATCCCGTGACGAATGACGCGAACGTAGACGTCACGAGGATTTCTTATCTTATGACGGATGCGTCATAAGAATTTTTTATTTTTTGGCGAATGACGCGAACGTACGCGTAATAAAAATTTCTTATCCTGTGACGGGTGACGTAAACGTACGCGTCATAAGAATTTCTTATCCTGTGACGAGTGACGCGAACGTACGCGTAATAAAAATTTCCTATCCTGTGACGGGTGACGTAAACGTACGCGTCATAAGAATTTCTTATCCTGTGACGAGTGACGCGAATGTACGCGTAATAAAAATTTCTTATCGTGTGACGAGTGACGCGGACGTACGCGTCACGAAGATTTCTTATCTTATGACGGATACGTCATAAGAATTTCTTATCTTTTGGCGAATGATGCGGACGTACGCGTCACGAAGATTTCTTATCTTATGACGGATGCGTCATAAGAATTTCTTATCTTTTGGCGAATGACGCGAACGTACGCGTAATAAAAATTTCTTATCCCGTGACGGATACGTCATAAGAATATCTTATCTTATGGCGAATGAAAAACGAGTATTTCACGAGAATTTTTGTATTTTATTGTGACACGAAGTATTTCTTATTATATGACGCGTCGACGAATATTTTTTTCATGAAAAAAAAACGGAAAAAAATTTTCAAATATTCAAAGATTTTCCTTTGCAAGTGTGTACAATTATTTTTTAGGTTTTCGTTATATTTTTTTCTATTTTTGAATCGACTATTTTTGTTCGACCATCGCGCGAATATATATATCGGAGAAAATATCGATAAATCGAAGGGTTTCGAAATTCGGGACGGGTTCGTGGATATAGGATGTAAATCATGTTGTGGAATATTCCAACATTGGTAACTTCTTCGAGGGGATCGAATGATGCATAGATATCGGGGAATTCGTTTCGCGGTCTACGAAATGGATTATCTGGCGCGTGCCAGAGCCCGCTACGATTATGGCCATATCGATCGGGGTGGAGAAACGGGAAACGGCTTTATTGCGTCCCTGCGGTGATAGAATATACCGCGTGGATACACGCGTCCATCGATAAAGCGGCAAGACGACGGTATTCGCGAGCCTGCCGCCGAAATTTTCACGAAATCGGAACGGATTTATCTCGAAAACGCTCGTTCACGAAACATGATACGTTACGAATCCGTATAAAGTTGTTAAGAAAAAGAAATTTCCGAGAGTTCATTTATACCCTTCGTTTTTGATTAATCTTTGCGCAAAGAATAATATTGCAAGAAAGATTCGTTTCTTAATCGTTACAAATCGACGTTCATTATTTCATTGAGATTTAAAAATTCAAACCTAATAATAAATTGAATATTAATTACATTTAAATTTATTAATTACATTTAATTAAAATAATTAAAATTAATTAATTACATTTAAATTGAATTTAAATGAAAATTGTGATTCAGTTTAACAATGGACAAAGGTACACTTACAACTCCGCGGAGAGGTTTGAGTTGGAGAGGGGAAAGTTTAAAGCCAATTGCACGTTGAAATGCACGCAGGTTCTTGAGATTGTACGAGGGAAGGCAGTACCGAGAGGCGGCGGGTTTTCTCGCCAAGTTGCCGCACTACACCCTGAAGGCTACCCTGCCGGACATTCCGGTCGACCTGTTGATCGAAACGCTTCCCCACAGCTTGTCCCTGCTGGAAGCCCTCTACTCGAGGCTGCTCGAGTTGAACGTGAACGACGCGAAGATGTTGAGGGTCGAGCAAGTCCTCTGGAGGATCGTTCACCTGATCTCGTTGAGCCAAGACCACTTCCGGTTGAGGATATGGTGCAAGTTGTTGGTCTCGTTGAACGGTTTGGCGCCGAACGCGGGGGGGATGCTGGTCGCGAGGAAAAGGGCTTTGGAAAGGGCGGTGGAGGGTCTGGGCAAACACGGATTGGTCGCGTCCTGTTTGGAAAATGGCGGGGCCTCGAACCTCGTGCCCTTGCCCTTTGCCCTCAAGGAACAGCTCGAGAACAGAATCGAGGCGTACAAGCTGGCCGTGCACAAGATCGAGAGCTTTGGAAAGCAGCCGAGAACTCACAGAGGTAATTTCAGAATTCAGGCGGTTCCGAAATTCTTCATGGATTTCTCCATCGAGAAATTTTTTTTTTAGGGGGATACTTTACGTTTCGATTATCTTTGCCATTTATTTATTCTAATATTCTCGAAGTGGTAATGGTCTTAATAATGTTAATTTTCTTTTTAAATTTTTACAACGCTGTAAAATTTCTCAATCTATTAGAAAAATTCTTAAGAACTATCATTTTTTATATTTAGTTAATGATTTTTGGTTCTTATTTAATTTAATATTCTTAAAATAACAGCCACGATAATTTAATTTCTTTTAAACTTTAAAACAGTGAAATTTCTTTACGGATACTTTATGTTTCGATGGTTTTTGCCATTTATTTATTATTTAATATTCTCAAAATAATACTCTTAATAATGTAAATTTTCTTTTTAAATTTTACAACAATGGTTCTCAATCTATGAATCAGAAAAATTCTTGACTGTTTAACGAAGATGATTTTTGGCGTCTATTTAACCATTCTCATAACGAGAATTCTCATTAGAGAGCTGAAAGATAGTTGAGACGGTGTTAATTTTTTTAATTTCACTCGCAGCGTATAGTTTTACAAAGAGAGATGACAAATGAAAAAAAAAAAAGAAAAGAAAAAAAGAGAACATCGTTCCGCAACTTCGTTACAGATAATGACGAAATATCCGCGATAGTGAGAACTCGGCGTGGGAACGCATAATTCTTCCTGCCTGCGCACACTTACGCATGCGCACACGCAATGAATATATGTACGGATCAACGAGCGAGAGAAAGTCGGAAAGTTTGCGCCGATCGAGTCGCGGATACGTGTCAAATCCGATTAACACGATCTAACGTGTATACCGTATGCCATGCGACCGCTTTCACTGCCAGTCGTAAAAATTCGAAAGAAAGAGAAAGAAAACACTCGCAATTTCGATGTCAATAATAATAATAAAAAAAAAACGATTTCGCTAATTCTCTCGACGAATCAAAAATCTCGAAAGATTCGAAGGAAGCGTCGTCGAGAGTCTCTAACGTTCATTCGTTGGAAACGATGTCCAATCCAGTGTCGGGGATTCGCGAAGCGTTTTAACGCGGCTGCATTGGACGTATTACATTTCCAAATGCAAATACGCCGATGCGGTGGACATGAACGCGGCCAAGTTTACTCGTCGGATGATATACTCGTCGCGTGTGAACGTGATAAAACGTAATCTCTCTCTCTTTTGTTTTTTTTCTTTTTTTTTTTTTTTTTGAAACTTATTCATCTTCCGCTTTTACGGATAATGACACGGGACGGTCTTTCGAGTTAAAAATAAGAGAATGAAAATGTAAAGACTATTATTATTTATTATTAGGGAGGAGAAACAGGTTGGAAATGAAAAGGATATGAAAGGTATTTACAAGAGTTGAAAAGTAATGCGTTAATTATTCGAGAAGAAAAGTTTTTCGACGCGCTTCGAAGATAATTAATTCTTTTTTTTTTTTTTTTTTTTAAATATTTCGAATCAAGCGTACATTTTAATTGTTTCATTCCTCGTCGATCTTTCGATATATATAATAATATACGAAGGAGGAAATGAGAAATACGATCTCGACGATGCTCGTCGAGTTAATTACCGCGAATAATCACCGCGATTGAAAATTATCGAGATCGATGAATTGTATTTACTCGTTGAATCGCGTTAAATGTAAAATCAAATCTCGTTTCTCGATAACTTCGCTCCGGCGGGTGGGGATTAATCCCCACGTAAATTACGCCAGTTAACCTTCTCTACTCGCCCGAAGAGCGGATGGATTTCTCCGAATAAATTATTCGCACAGGTGTAAAGGAAAGGTGTAATCGGATTTTTCAGCGGATCAAGGCGTACAAGCGGCATCTCACCAGCGGCAACTTTCGCTCAAGTACAGCGAGATCCAGCAGAGATTGATCGATAATCAGAGTTTGTTGAACACGTTGGAGAAAGCCGGGGACCCGACAAGCCTCGAAAGTCTGTTATCCGAGCTGAAACGGAGGGTCGAGCAGGACAAGGAAGCTCTCAGACAATGGACGGCTTTGAGGAGATCCACTCAAGGTGGTGGGAACGCGAAGAATCCACCGCTGGCCGCCACACTGTTGCAGTTCTCCAGGGGTTGCGAACTCGCCCTCGAGTTGATGAGCGAGAACAACCCACAGGTACGCGATTTTCTCGATTCGGTCGTTCGTTATTTTGTTATTCCTGCCAATAGCAAAAATTCTCGTTCGGATGACGCTTATTCGACTACTTGCGAAGGATTCTCGTAGCTACATTTGGAAAGATGTATATAAAAAGGAAAAATAATAAAACTATTGAATTGTTATGTAAAAATGATACAAAAACGGTTTATTGAAAAAGATTATTTAGAATGTAAAACTTTAAAGCATTCTATACAAAACTGAAGTTGGTCAGGACAAAAAGTTGTTGTCTTTTAATTCTTCCATTTCTCTTTGTTCGACATTGGAACGAATTAGGGGAAAAATTTTAACACTTATACCTCTCGTTACTCGATTCAAACTGTTGTAAAGAGACAACGAGGTGATCTCAAGCAAGCATTCTTGCGACTCTTATTTGTTAAAATATCGCTTGGAAGTGGCTTGAAGGGGATTTCATTGGAAAACGCGCGCAACAATTAATTCCTCGAGGAGGAAAGTGACGAATCCTTTCCATCCTTTCATCTTCACGAGATCAAAGATAAAACTATCCTTCGTGTAAAACTTCGGTATGAACGGATGAATATTGCAATTTTTCAGGGATTGGAGGGGGGCGAGGATTACGAGGAGGAATCGAGCAGCAGCGCCGGTTATCACACGGACGAGAGTTGCAGCCTTACGCCGGAACCGGCGCTCCCGCTGATTGCGGGCGGGGGTGGGGGCAATTTTTCGGCCGCGGAACGGCTGGCCGAGATGTACTCGGCCCTCTACGACCACGCGCATTTGCACACGTTGGACGCGCTGGACGCCCTCCAACCCCTCGACGACGCCCCCGATTTGAAAGCAAAGATACTGTATTCGGTGGTGGTGGTAAGTTTGGGTGGGTAGTGAGGTAGGTTGGTTGCATCTGCTCGTTCCATTTAAATCAATGGAGAATTTTAAAATTGGAAAGTTTTTAAAATTGGTTAGAGGTTGGCGATGATTTATCGCTCTCGAAAAGCGAGTTAAGTGCGAGTTGAGTTGATATAAAGTGGGATTGAATAAAGTTTGTTTTTTTTTTAACCATAACTCCATTGCTTTCCTTTTAAGAGGAATTTTTTTTTTTTTTTTAAATTTTGGATGATGAAAAGTAATTATATGAAATGAATAAATCCTTAATCTTTTATTTTATTAAAATTTTAATCTGTAAGTTTTAAGGAAGGAAAGGGCAAAGGAGGAGAAGGAGAAGAAGGAGGAGGGTGTACTTTAATTCCAGGAAGTAGGGAAATATTGGTATTATTGTTGAAATTTTCGATAATTGGTAAAAAGGTGTTGCAATTTATGGGATAGATATTAATCTCCATAAAGGCTTTTTAACCTTTAAGCGGGAAGAATCGGTGGTCGCCCCTAGAGTGGAAGGAATTACATCGTAATAGAGTGGCGAATGGAAAGAAAGGAAACACGGTTAACCAGTTAAGAGGATGATTTAGTTATTACACGGGGCGGGAAAATATCGTTAAGATAGAAACGAACTCTGCCGAAATTATCCAGAATTATCTTGCTTAACTTCTCCCCCTCTCCTCTTCTTTATTACTTTTATAATAAAGAAAACTTGATCAATAACGCGATACGAAAGTTATTCACAATTAGATATTACTCGATATTAAATCTTTCTATTCCTCCGGCATATTGCCACGTGAACTTGTATAAAGCCACAAAGCCTATCAAGATTTTGGCCATCCTTTCTCCGTTTTCGTAATATTCCCCGAAAGAAATTCGTAATCACAATTCACACAACACACAAGATTTTAAATATATCGATCCAATTTTCTTTTTTTTTTTTCAAGGAGTTAGTTAGATTATTTTACCGAAAGAGATTCGTAATCACAATTCATACAACACACAAGATTTTAAATATATCGATCCAATTTTTTTTTTTCAAGGATAGTTAGATTATTTTACCGAAAGAGATTCGTAATCAATTCGTAATCACAATTCACACAAGACACAAGATTTTAAATATATCGATGCAATTTTCTTTTTTTTTTTTTCAAAGATAGAAAGAGATTCCTAATCAATTAATAATCACAATTAAAATATAAAATATTTTAAATATATCGATCCAATTTTCTTTTTTTTTCAAGGATAGTTAAAATCTTTTATCCAGTTTTATCTTGACTCGACGATGGCAATAATAATAATTGACGATCGAGGTGTTCCTCACGAAATTTCCAAATTTCGTTTCCCCTTTTTCGATTTCGTCGAATAGTTTTAACGAGTGGATAAATAATGGAAAGAGGGGAATGGAGAGAAGAAGATAGAAAGAGAGAAAATGGGAGAGATCCAAGCGATTGATGGAATAACAGGTGGTGAACAAAACGAATTTTAATCTATCCTTCTGTCTCTTATTTAAATAGAAAATCTGTATAGAAAAGTGCAAAAGTGCTCTTTCGCACTTTGCAAAATGGCCAGATTAAAAAGAGAAGAAATCATTTCGTTAAAATTGAAATGGGGAAGAGGTTACACTTTGTAGTAGCTTCTAATGGAGATTATTGTAATTTAAATTCCGCGAAAATACAAGATTTCTCTTCGTAATTATTGCGATAATTATATCCTGTCATCATTGTTATTTTAGTTTCCAAAAATATTTTCCATATCGTACATCTAAACGTTTCTAAGCATTTAGATATCAAAGATAAACATCGTTCTCATTAGCACGAAAATAAGAATTTCTTTGTAATTATTATATCCTGTCATATCATTGTTATTTTAATTTCCAAAAATATTTTCGATATCGTGCATCCATTTCTAAGCATTTAGATATCAAAGATAAACATTGTTCTCATTAGCACGAAAATAAGAATTTCTTCGTATTATAATTATTATATCCTGTCATATCACTGTTATTTTAATTTCCAAAAATACTTTCGTACATTCAAATATTTTTAAAATTTGAGGAATAATACGTTTCAGGATTTAAAGATCTCATTAGTGCACGAAAATTGTCACGACTTTCCTTTGCCGCTCGAAATCGCGCGAGCAACGATCCTTTCTTCTTCACCGAACCCATCGATGAAATCGACCAAACACCGAACAGTATTTCGACAAACCGCTTATTGATTATCGATCGAAACAACGAAATCGATGGATTCGCGATCAGATTGTGACGCGAAGATGAAAGACCCGTAATCAATTTTAGGATCGAGGAGCGCGCGCGCGTGTTGGATCGCCTGTCACGTAAGCCGAGAGTCGTTAAAGGTGTCGAAAACCGCAGTCTCGTGGTTATCGGCATTGGCGAGGGGGGATCGTCGAAATCTCGTCTCTGGCTTTCGCTTCGCAAAAGTTAGTTTCTCCGCCGAGGAAAACGCTTAATTTTATTCGTTATCGACTGTCAAATTGAGGGGGAAGGGTGTGGAAAAACTTTACTCGTGTACAGAATGGACGGAGACGCAGAGAGTTGGAAGACGAGAGAGCGGTGTTGGAAGTTGGAAGTTTCAGAGGCGCGATTGGTCTCGTTCGAATTCGTTGGTGGGAGAAAGAGGAGGGGGGAGGGACGGTCGGGGAGAATAGCGGTCGAGGTAGAATGTGCGACAAAGTATAAAACGAACATGGGAACGAGAGAGAGAGAGAGAGAGAGAGAAAGATCGTATTAGAGCGGTTGGAATTCGAATTAATCCTTATCCACCACTTACGTAGGTTTTGCGTTGGCGAAAGAGGTCGCGACTGGGTGCTCGGGCTTTCGACAAGTTGGCTCGTGTTCTGCGGTAACGATTTAAATCATCGGATGTTTAGCTTTCGACCGTGGAAACGGGAGTAATTTCGAGTAATTTTACCATCCGACCGGGAGCGGAACAACGTTGATCTTAACGCCCCGATGGAACGAAAGGAAATTCTCATCTCTTTTGAACGATCGATAAATCGATCGATGCGCCACCATCGTCGGTTTCACTAACGTCGAACGTGGAGTGAAATTACGAGATAAAAAAGAAAAAATTGGTGTTGGACAAAATTTAACAGTTGAGAATAAATAAAGTTCAAAGCGCGATAATAATCGGAAATAATTATCGATATCAAACAATCGAGATTATACGTTACATTAAAACATTTTAATTCGAGTAATTGTTTAAAGTAACTACGTTCGAAATTTTTCACTTCGACTCTTTCAAGTTGGGTTAACGACCAACTCCGAAGCTCTGATCCGAGCTAAAGGAGAATAAGCTTGAAGAAATTGAAAACGAACGGGAGCGAGTATCCTAAAAAGAAAAAGAAAAAAAGGAAAAAGAAAAGAATCGAGAGAAGGAGAAAAACGGAGACGAATTTCGAAGCGTATTTCGAACATAGGATGCGCATAACGATAGATGGATAGATGGAAGATTATTTTTGCCGACACCGTTACCACGCACCTGTCTCTCGGCCGATCGATCGACCATTAACGTCAAAGCCGTCGCGAGAGCGGTGTTGGGAGGGGGGAAGGAGGGTGACTAGGAGGGTGCACTTTTGCGATCAAGTGTACCCGGCAAGTGGCAGAGGCGCTAGTCCGTCAGCCTGGGGCTATTACTTTGCATACATACAGGTAGCCATCCCGTATACGGTAGCCAGCCTGGAAAATCGATGAACTAAAATAAATACCTGCGACGAAACTCTCTCTCCTTCCCTCTCTCTCTCTCTCTCTTCTTTTTCTCTTCGATTTAATCTCTGTCTCTCCTCGTCTCGACACCCTTGCTTCTCCCGTGAATCGGCGAATTTTTCGACCGTCACTTTTTCTTTCTCTCTCTCTCTCTCTCTCTCTCTCACGTCGCGGCTAGAAAATCACCGATCCCTGGTTGCATCGCGCCAGGCGAGTTGCTCGACCGAGGCGAGGCGAAAAGCGAAAGAAAGAAAGGAAAAAAGGAAAGAAATGGAAGGTGAATGGAGGGAGAAAAGGAATGGTGAAAGGAAATGGGTGAGGTACGTGGGTGAATTTTTCGTCTCGTACAACGGAATCAATTCGTAGGTGGAGGAAATGTGTACACGGGCAATGGTTATCTCCATTGTACCTCCGTCCGTATGTTCGTAATTATTTGGCCGGGGAGGCGGTGCGGGGAATAATCACGGAGGATAACTTGAGCCGGTATGAAAGACGATTTTTAATCTTCATATCTTTTATGTCTTTTTAATCTTTTAATCTTTATAAGCCGTATAATTTTTTTTTTTTTTGGTTCCATGGTAATTTCCATGTTTCGCAATGGAATCCCTTTACTTCGAATTTCATTTTTTTTTTTTTTCCATATTATTTTCGTCCTCCGTATCTTCGTGTATATTCGTATTCGTACATAAGAGGAGAAGAAGAAATTTATCATATCGAAAGCTCGGATTCCAGCCGAACGAAATTCCAGGTAATGGGAAAAGATATGGAAATAGAGTTAATAGAATTCCTTTTTTATAATTATGGAAAAAATACAAAAGGGAGTAGATTGACCGGAGAGAAGGAAATTGAAATTCTTAACGGTATTAAAAATTATAGGAAGGGGAAAAGAAATATCTCGCGTGTATGGAAAAATTCGAAACAATCGTATATTACGTTTCGTTTACTTCCTTCATTCAACGATTTATTTATCCACTTCGATATAAAATTTTGCGCGTATATCATCGAGCGAAAACCGCATTCGACCTCGTCGCAGTATAGAAGAAAGAATAATTCGTATTAATAATATCTGCGGTCTGTCGCGATAAATTGAGCGATAAACTCGAGCGATTACAGTTTCCCGAGCGTGCGATCTCGTCGCGTCGATTGAAAAAAAAAAAAGAANTATTAATAATATCTGCGGTCTGTCGCGATAAATTGAGCGATAAACTCGAGCGATTACAGTTTCCCGAGCGATTTCGTCGCGTCGATTGAAAAAAAAAAGAACGTGGCAATATTTCTCTCTCTCTCTCTCTCTCTCTCTCTCTCTTTCCGTTTGAAGAAACCGCGTGAAAAATTGATGTCAATTGATGCCGAGTCTCGAATTTTTTTTACGCGAGCGAGATTCTCCGAGTGCTGGAAAATTGGGTTCGAGATGAAAAATCGGGCGCGGGACGATGTCGTAAACAGGACGCGTCGAAACGAAATCCATTTTCCGACGTGAATAAATCATCAGATTATCAATACGAATCCGGTCGTAAGTTACTGCGACGCTTTGGGCCGGGCGACTTTCCTCCTCCGAAGAAGAGGAAAAAAGGAAGGAGAAAGAAAAGGGAAGAAAAGAGTGAAAAGGCTCTTTCGCCTAAAAGAAAATGGAGATGCCCGTTTCCCAACTCGTAAAAGGGTTTCCATCGATCGCGTTGCGAACAAAAGGGGAAAATACCGAAAATCGAAACAAGATTTTTCCCCTGTTTCTCTACGATGTAACGATGTATTTCCGGATATGTTGTGGTCTAGGATGACGTAAGTTTGCGGTAACAATTTGCACGCGAGCGCCGCTGTCGCGCAAAAGCCGAAGAACGAAGCCATGCATATCTCCGCCAACGCTTTAAATAGACCCTCGAAAGGGCGGATAATTGCATTGTTACTCGATCTATTCGATCGTGAACACGGTCCACACGTTAACGATCAAAGCGAAGGAGAAGAAAATGAAAAGAAAAAAAAAAAAGAAAGAAAAGAGAAGAAAAGAAAAACTAATGTTCAAAACTTCAACAATAATAAAATTTTCCTTCACCCACGTTTCCTCTTTTCGCAGCTCTCGTGGCGGTTGGCGGGCATGATTCAGACGTCGAGGTATCTGGAAGCGGTGAAAATTCTAAACGGTACCTCGACCACTGCGCAAACGACACCGGAGCTTGAAGAATGCGTGAAGCGGCAATTGGCGACTTCCGGCGCGCGAACCGGTTCCCGAGAGGTCGCGGAACAGGTGGTCACCCAGCTGGAGAGAACGCTCTACGACTTTCCTTGTCTACGAGGTTGCGCCGAGGTGAAGAATTACGCGTGCGCCTGTTCCAGTTTGGCCTGGGCCTGTTTGGCGCGTGTCACGCCTCTGGTACTCGACGTGGCGCAAGCGTTCGAGTTCAGGCGAGACGTTCATCTAAGGCATCACGCGTCCCCAAACCCGAACGGAATCAGAATCAAGACGGTTCTGTGGCCCGGTTTGAGGGAAGGCTGCCAAGGGCCCTGCCTTCGCAAGGCGGTTGTCCTTACGTCGTAAATACTCTCCCTTTCCCTCTTGAATCGCGCGGCGAACAGAGATGGAAGAGGAAGTGCACACGCGCGACGCGACTACGCCATTGGCTGCTCCAATTTCCACGCGTGCCTCGTCGCAGTCTTGAATTTCCCAAGGGGAACTGGAATTACATTTGTACTCCGTCTTATGTAACAGAAACGCGTCGCACTCTTTATCCGCGAAATAGGATTTTAGCGTAAGACGACGTGATGAGATTCTTTGATGCGAAGCAACAAACCTCGGTCGCCGAACAACATTTTTCCAAACAACAGTTTCAATTTCGTATACACGTATACGAAATATCTTAAATTTTTGAAAACGCGTCAACCGACGCTGTAAATTTTACGAGAAAAATATTTATATTGAAATCTAGCGAAAAAAGTTAATAATTACGTGGTTAGAAAGAATACAGAGCACGCGAGAAAAGAACTCGTAAGTAAAGTTTGAGAATCGGAACTTTATATCGCGTAGCCGAACGAATCATTTCGCGAATTAAAAAGTTTTCACGAAAAAGTTTTCTCGCGGCAGATGCTTTCCGCTTGAAAGAAATCGTGATGATTGCCTCTCCGAGTCGAGAGATAGTTTATGTTAGACGAGTAGTAGCTCGTCGGATGCTTCAGAAATATCGATGCGTCGAGATGGTTGCGGAGAGACGGCGAAACTCTACAATTCGCCCTCTACAATTTACAATTCTCGATGCGAACCGGACACGATATTATTCCGTTGATCCAATTATTGTCGTTGATCCAATACTGGGGAAAATTGAAGAAAAATTGTCTCTCTTTCGCATCCTTATTCGAATGGAAGTTGATTCTTTTCAAGTTCAACTTCCTTTAAATTCGAAATCACTCTCGATACCTTAGATTTAACCTTACGGTACGATAATCTAAGATTTGCTTAAATATACTTACGCGAGGCTTGAACGTGTATAATGTTTCCTCGATAACATAGTTAATGGTTTGCTTTCTTAATCACCATATTATCATTGTTTGAACTTAATCCGACTTAATCGCTTGTCCAATTATATATAATTTACATTACCGAAAATGTATTTACTTTCATAATATTTATTCTCAAGAGAGACTCGTTTTCACGTTAAATAGTCGATGATTAATACGATAATATCGAGACGCGATAATTATTCGAAATTATTCCGAGCAAATATTCACGAAGGATATAAACTAAACTGAATTAATTCGCTTAAAGCAGCGTATGTGCTTATCTTTTAACCACTTATTGTATAGATGTTTTATATCAATTTATATATTGTTCATTCAGAGGTATAGCGTGGTCGTAAATTATTGTACGAGTCGGTGATAAGATTAATGTTACGATGAATTTTCTTTTTTTTTTTTTTATGTCGTTGGGACATTTTTAGCTTTTTCGCTAGAATAATTTTACGACCTCGCCATTCTGGGCGTACTATTAACTGTCCCGATAGCAGTTGTAAAGGTGGTACACAGAGAGGAAGTTAAAGCACCGTAACGACTAGTCTCTCGGATTTCCAAGGTTTATTATAAATCTCATTTTCTATATACATTATTCATACATTTCAATTTTTTTTTTTTTTTCCGCTTAATGTAACATAATGTAGAAAAGTGCATAGACCTACTACGTGTTTGGCCCTGATTTAATTTGAACAGATGCGCTTGGAATACGAGTAATCTCTACGTGGAAGATGATTGTTATTCGAAAATATCGTGGAGAATATATAATTTAAAAATACGGATGTGGTGCATGTATGTAATGTATGCCTGTAATGTGTGTAATGATAAAAAGTGAATTCTAACTTAAATGATTTTTGTATTGTGTCATGAAAGAACGCCTTTGGTCGAAGCACTCGACAAAAATTCGTACTCTTATAATTGCAACATTGTCGATTATTTACAATCTAATTTAATCGATAAACTTTGATTTCAAACGTGTCCCGCATTGTTTCATCTATATAACAATTGGAAATCAATTGTCCAAGTATCGAGCAGTCTTGCGACGAGCAACGAGTTTTAGAATCATGCGCCATTTCCCTCGAAATCGATTCAAATCCTTCCAATTTCAAGATATTCCAATTTATTATAAGATTTTACAAAAATTCAATAATCATCTTTTCAAGATAATTTTAATTTTTTCGTCGCTGAACATCGCAAATGTTATAAAATACCAGCCTATTTTTTAACAACAATTTATCTTACAATTTATCTTATCTAAGTATGAAAAAAAAAAAAAATTGGTGAATCTTTCATTAATTGCTTGAAAATCTCGTGATAAAAAATTAAGATAAAAAGATAAGGTCTAAAATCGCTTCGACAAACGTGTATGGTAAATCAGATTCTTTACAATATCCTCGAATTTCCGGTGTCTCAGTCGTCTCGCTTGTCGAAACGTAATTATTTTCCATATAGAAAGATAATCTAAGATATTAATTGATTTACGTCTAAACTGTCAGAAAATATACTTTTTATAATGTCAAAAAATAAAATGAATCGTCGCAAAATATTTATTGCAATATTCATTTAACTTAAAGCAAACGAAACAAGTAAAGAAAATATTAATTAATTTTTCTAACGACTCGTAAAATTGAGAATCGATAAAGATATACCAAAAGTAATACACGCAAAAAATATATATTTGAAAAATATTATTTGTCTATCGTATGATCATTCATCTTATTATTTATCTCATCATTTATTTTAATATTATGAATTTCCTATTCGATGAAATAGTCTCCAAATGACGAGAAAAAATTCTATTATCATATATTTCCTATAATTACATTTTTTTTGTTGCTTGTATAAAATATACTTGACCGCTAGTGACAAATATAAGACATACTTAATAATATACATATAATATATATGTCAAAGTTTAAAAGATTATTAAGAATATGATGTCTTTTCATGAGCCTCTGTCGTGTAAAATTGCACGATCTATTGTACGTATATTGTACGAAGTATAGTAATGCTTCGAAAAAAATAATATTATAAATATGAGTATCTTTTCGAAAGATAAACTATGAGCACGTCGTTTAAAATGACAAAGAAGAAAAAAAAGAGAGAAAGTAAGAAAGAAAAAAAAAAAAAAAAAGAAAAGAAAATAAACGGAGACAGACAAACGGATACAAGTGAAAAACACATTCACTTTTACGTTATCAAAAAAATATATAATTCAGTAATTTAATTTTGCTTTGTATATAACGAATTTATATACCTAAGTTTGTTTGTTCTCCAGGCGTATAACATGGCACGAATCGCTTTCCTCGTGTGCAAAAATATATAAAACTCTTTTTCATCGATTGAAATGCGATTCGATGGTAATTTACATGATAACACACCATTTTTTGCTACCTTCATTCGCCGATTTACTACTTTCATCCAATTCCAATTTGTCGGTTTGAAACTTCATCTCGGATACTGGAGTAGATACTTGTATAGGCTTGCGTAACCCTTTCAATAAACCGATCGAACTATTCAATAAACTGTTTTCGGATTCTGTTTTCTGTTTCTTAATGGAACTCCAATTATCGATTTCGTGTTTTCGTTTTCTCTCTGTTGGGCTACCATTTGTGGTAGAAAGCATGTCGGACAAATCGGTGCTATAACGAACAATCTTATAATCCGCTATATCATCTGGTGGCAAAGATGCGCTCGATGTATTAACAAATAACGAGTCGTTCGGTGAATACCTTTGCTCGCGTAAAGTAACGTGTCGCATTGCGTTTAGAGAACGTCGGCCGGTAATACTTCTTAAAGTTTTCCCAAAGGACATTTCTTTTTGTGGCTGACTCGACGTATTATGACTAGTGTTGCTCGTATCGAATAACTTCGAGTTTTCTTTTAAACAATCGTTCAACTTGATCTGTACATCTTTCAGCATTATTGAAGAATCGTACGAAACGAACGAAACATCTTTGCTAATGCTTTCTTCGCGCTTCTCCTTTTCTTTTTCCTTTTCTTTCTGAATATCATTTTGCGACGCAGTTTCAGACGTTTCAGACATTTCAGACGTTGTGATCTCTAAAATATCTACCGAATTACTTTCCGTGTCAGTTTGAGATTCACTGTGTAAATCTTCTTTTTGTTGTGTATCACTCTTTGTTGTCCCTGCTTCGGAAGGACATTTTTCACTACTTTCATTTTTTAAATCTACATCATCCGTCTTTTCCTCATATGCCGTATGTACGGGATTATCTTCCGTTTCTAAACGCAAATTTAAATCATTTTCTTCATGTTGTTCTATTTCTTTATCTTTATCGAAATTACTTGCTTTCTCTTGACTCTCTGTTTGTTCTTCCTCGATCACTACTTCTTTATCTATTGAATCTTCTTGCACTTTGGATATTGGAACAGATTCCGAAGAGGTATAATCAATATGCATTTCATCAGATTCTTGTGTATCTTTAGAAATATCTTTTTTTACATATTCCATTTGTACAGTTGGATTTATTTTTACATCTGCTTCCTCTGATTCTGGCTGCATATTTGCTAAAATTGATTCTTCACTTTTTTCTGGTATGGTAAATATTTTTTCTTTAGAATTTCCAGATGCTGTATCCTCAAGATCTATTATTTTCTTCGGAGAATAGCTCAACTTTGACTGCATACAAACTTTATTCTATAAAAAATATATTATTTTTTATATCTTATCATATTTAAGTTATATTTATCTAAAGAACTTTATCAAACTCACTTTAAAATTTTTTCTTGGACTATGTGGTACTCTCTTTTGTAAAGTGCTCAATTTAGATCTGAAATAAAAGTATTGTAATGTTCAAAACCATTAGAAAAAGATTACATAAATATTTATAATCAATTTTTTTACAGAGTAAGAAATTCTGGAGGTGATGAGAGGTATTGACTTAAAAAAAAATTTCACAAAGTAGCTAAAGCAAAATTTTTTTTCAATATTTATTCAACAAGCTATAGATTTGATCTTCTCTTATTTATTAATTCATTTAAAATTATTTGTACTTTATAATCATTTATAACATACACACATACATACATATATATATATATATATATATATATATATATATATATATATACACACATATATATATACACACACACACATACACATACACGTCTTGACTTTTTCGTAAAAAATTTTACTGAAAAGATTAACAACGAGTGTTTGTTTTTTAAATAAATCAATTAAATTAGGACATTTAAAATGTAGATGAAAAAATATGAAAGGCCACGATTTGTATGGTTTGTAAATATCAATGGTTATCTTCTGCCGAAATTGAGTGACATTTGCCCCGCTTATCCGCGGATTTTTAAAAGAAAAAAAAAATAATGAAAAAAAATATCTAACAGCAGCGTATTTGACGATATATGTAAAAAGACGAGCGAAAGATTTGCTGCATCGTTTACGCAAAATCACGAACGACGGAATGAAAAGGAGAAACTAACAAGCGACAGACTAAACAGAGAAACTGTGCATAAATTTGCTATTCGTTGGACTGATTGGTTTTACAAACCTGTTCGGAATCTTGGATTCGCGCTGTCTCTTGTGCAAGCTAGTTTCAGAAGGATTTGGCGGCGCGGTCGTTGCCTTGAGTCTCCGATTGTACAAATTCCTCTCATCGCCCCCAGGGGTCGCCTTCTTTGGCGTCTTACCCATAACGTTAGCGTACGTTTACGTCCTGCCTATTAACTCGTTTAATCTTTCCACGCCCTTTTTCTTAGCTGTACTCGCCCCCACGTAAATTCAACAAGCCCCCTTTGTTTGGTTGCGGAAGATCAAGTAATCTATTTGTACCTTGCTTTTGCTTTTACCTACAAATATATGCGATTCCTTTCTATCTATTTTGGTCTCTTGGTTTCCTTGGCCACTTATAACATTACATGCCCTATCGTAGAATACTGGTCGAAAATATGTCCAATAACGTGAGTGTAATCGTAACTTAAGATTTAGCGTATATGATATACATAGAATGCCATCAATGCGCCCTTGAATTTTATCGCACGCGGCAAAATCACATCAAAATGAATACTTGGCAATCCATACAAATTTATTATCACTTTAAGAATCACTATTTCTCGAACTTTATAATTGGATGAAGATTTTTACGTAACCGATTCGATGGAGATACACACTCATAGAAAAATGTCAACGCTATGCGCTAGTACGTGCCACTCACAACTCACAACCGGTACTCTATTTCTTTCGTACTAGCGGTAAATTCCGTTGAAAAATAACATGATCGAACACGAATGCAACGAGGCGCTACTATCGCGCCGTGTTGATCATATAAAATATCTATTTCAGAAAAAAATTCATTGATTTTTGATAATCTTTCGTGCATAATAAGTAAACAAATTTCTATCATATAAACATATGTATTTCCATTTATAATTGAAAAATTAACTTTAACGATTTTTTAACAGAATATTTACCAAAATATTTATAAAATATTAAAAAATATATTAAATTAAATAAAATTAAATGATATTATGAATTAAATTTTAATTACATACATGTTATTATTTTTAGTATATTATAATTTTTATTTGCATTTTTAATTTTTTATTACTATTATTAGATGGCAACAATGATTTTTACCATTACAAATCCCTATATAATTTGAAGAAATATTTCTATTGTTACAGTTAACTAACATGTTTCATTGACTAGTTTCAAGATGTTAAAGACTATGTGATGATGATTCCGGTAGTAGATTTTGAAGATTACGCGTCATAGTGTCAAAGATTACAACCTAAAATTTAATATTGAAAGTATTTTCGTTCTGCTTGTATGAAATATATAAAATGAACATCATATCGTGTTGGATATTAGTAATAAGTGCATTGAAATTAGTAACAGCAGAATGGAATACAAAAGATTATATGAAACGAGAACATTCTTTAATCCGACCATATCAAGGTTTGTGAATTTTGAATAATTTTACGGAAATCATGTTCTATCATATAATATATAGTATAACATTTTGATGTATATGTATTTGTAATTTTATTCATTATAATACATTATTCAAATATAAATAATAATAAGCTTTAGGTTACGTTACTAAAAGAAAAAACTAATAAAGATATAAAAAATAGAAGATATAAAAAAATAAGATATAATTTAAATATATTAATACTATAAATATTAAATATTTTATGTAATTAGGATCTGGAATGTCAATACCTTATTGGGATTTTACGGGTAGTACAATAGTAACGAATAACTATGTAAGATTAACACCAGATTTACAAAGTAAACAAGGTGCCATATGGAATGCTGTTGTAAGTTTTAAACATTCTAATTTAAAACAATTATTAATAATTTAATTTAAAATAAAATCATAAGAAATTATATTATATTATATTTTTTTGTACATATTTTTAAATGCATATTAGATTTTATTTATCTAAAATAATCAAGATAATATTTGTTTATTTAGCCATGTCATGCAAGAAATTGGGAACTTCAAGTTCATTTTAAAGTTCATGGAAAAGGAAAAGATTTATTTGGTGATGGTTTTACAATTTGGTATGCAAGAGAAAGAATGAAATCAGGTCCTGTCTTTGGAAATCAAGATTACTTTCAGGGATTAGCTATAATTTTAGATACATATAGCAATCATAATGGTCCACATAATGTATGTACATAAAATAACTATAGCTATAATATTATTATACAATAAAAATATCATAGAAATCACTTTGGACTTTGTAGCATCAACATCCTTATATCTCTGCCATGGTCAATAATGGTTCTTTACATTATGATCATGATCGTGATGGAACACATACACAAATTGCAGGTTGTGAAGCAAACTTTAGAAATCTTGAACATGACACACATATTAGTGTGAGATATGAAAGAGATACATTGACTGGTAAGTATATATAAATATAAAATATTTTTTGGCATGACAAAAATGTTGTCATATAATTGTGTACATTAATCTCATATATCATATACCACATAAAAGTGTATTTTGATTGTATTGTGCCAATAAATGAGCCTTGTAATTCTTCTCTTTTCAATAATAATATTTTTAATGGTAATAATGATTACAATAATCTTAACTTCTGTGGCTTAATATTAATCATCTTCAAATAATCATAAACATACTTTTATTATATTCATAGTAGTATTTTTGAAGTAGAAAGTTTATAGCTGTGCTTCCTATATGTATATTCTATCAGTTTATGTGGTGTTCTACAAATTAACATTACAGTAAGGTCTTACCCTGAAGCCTCCTGGCTTACATCATGGACTGCGTCCACTTCAGCAAGTGATATTTTCTTCATCTTTTCATATATTGTTTATCATCTTTATTTTATTTTTTGTTCACATATCATTAAAAAAGTTATTAGAATTAAATCATTAAAATCTTTATAATCTATATTTAAAAAATAATAAATTTGCATGAAGTTTTAAAAACTGTGTGTAAAAGTATCTGCTTAATACATATATTACATACATATTATATTATATTAAATGCTAAATTTGTATATAATTTTTATTATTTTTATTATTTGCAATAAGCATGAAATAAGTCAACTTATACATAGAATAAATACAAAATATTATATAAATATTTCTAAAAAATAAATTTATTAATATTTTTTTTTACTATAGTTTCTACAGATTTTGCAAATAAAGCTGCATGGAAGGAATGTTTCTCTGTAAAAGATATAAAACTGCCTACAGGATATTATTTTGGAATTTCTGCAACAACAGGAGACTTATCTGATAATCATGATATTCTATCTGTTCGTTTGTTTGAATTAGACCTACCAGATGATGTAAGTAATATTTTATTTAATATATATATATTATAATTTTTAAAATGTATCATTATTTAATGAGAAAATAAAACATTTCGATTTTAGCCTAAAGATCAAGAAGATAGGTCAAATATTTTACCATCAGCTGCATATTTTGATGCACCTCGAGGTAATAAACAAAATTTGCAAAATGCACTTAATAAAATATTCTTATATTCATTACAAATTTTATTTACAGAACATGTAGATGATCCAAAACAATCTGCATTAAGTAGAATAATGTTTTTCCTTTTAATGCTTGTGGCTGCGCTTGCATTAATTGCCTGTGTGGTAATAGGTATTATGTGGTATCAGAAACATCAAGAAAACAGTAGGAAACGTTTTTATTAAATCAAGGTGCGTTGCAAACTATTCTACTTTTAAAATTCTCGTTTTTATCGGTTCTTTCTATAAAAAGAAAAAAAAAAAAAATATATATAATCATAACGTGTTCATAAGACTGTTTCAATAGAATAACAAATACAACATCCATTATCTCCAAGAATGTCGTTTTGAGAGATATTTTAATGGAAATATATCAAAAAATAAAATAATCATAATAATGTATAAATTATTGCAGCAATCGTAAGACGTGTCGAATTATATTTGCTATTCTAGTTCTAATATTTGCATAAACAGAGTTCCTTTACCAAAGTTTTCACGTTCTTAATTTGCTGCAATTAATCTTATAGAAATAAGTTGATTTATTCGCGTAAGAATTAAACCGATATTATTCTTCAAGTGAACTCTACTTTAAAAATATGTTTGCAATTATAATAAATTTATTCTAAAAAACGAAAGTAGAAGAATAAGTTCTTCAAACAAATTTTCAGTTTATCGTTGCCGCGAAATATTACATAAATGGTTACAATATTATCATACAAATAGAGAAACGAACTCTTTACAAATAATCATGAATTATTTTATAAAAGCGTTCTTTCTCGCTTTGACTTATCTTTACCTCTATAGATTTGATATGATTAAAATGACTTTATTAATGTAGATTTTATATTTGTACATAATGAAACTGAACATTATGAATGTAGAATAGTTGTAGAGTGATTTTGTGCTATACAACTCATTTTATACAAAAGATAAAGGGAACCAAACTCTCAAAATAAACAATTGTTAGAAAACGTAATATTATTATTTGTGAAAATAATGTACGTCACTTGTTGCCAAATACAAAATAAATATGTATTAAATCTTGTAAAAATATTTATCTCAAAAAAAAAAAAAAAATGACAAAAATGAAAATAAAAATAAATGTTTCTTATCAAAATATACATTCTACAAGTAAATAAAGCTATTCGAGCAAAGTATTTAATATAACAATATTTTTGCTCTCCTTAAAATATATTTTATTATAAATAATAATTATTTGAACAGAAAACATCAAGGCACATCTATTTGTCTTTTGTTTCTGCTATAATTGTTTACTATTGTCCTGATATGATATATAGAATAATTTTTTTTTTTTTTTTTTTTCCCTTCTTCTTCTAGACAGTTTATCATTATATTTTTAAAGTCTAGATACTTAACATCAATTTTACAACAATCTTTAACTCCTACACATTATACATATATATCTTTGCTACATTTTTAAATACATATAATATTCATATAACATTTACATAAAGTAAAGATATTTTAATAACTAAATTAATTTCAAAGCATCATTAAGTTTCATATGTATATGAAGATATTAATTAAGTTTTAAGAAATTAAATCGTAATAATGAAAGTACATGCATCACAATTGTTGTACATACATGATTCTTAAATGTTAATAGAATTCGATAGATGCGGATGATGTTTTTCGTTAAAAATTTAGAATTACAAAAAGAGTTATAATATTTTACTATTGATTAAAATAAAATCGAAAAGATTCTCCCTTTTCGATTTTTCGAAAACGGAATAGAAAAATATTAAGCGCATTTATTTCTATTACTGGCAGTAATATTTATGAAAATATATTGATCTTAAAATATATGCGTATAAAATGTTCTCTTTGACATAGATACTTGATGAGTTTTTAATAAAATTCTAATGCCTGAGATGTTGGTAACATCAAAATATATATGTTTTTCTTTCATAGATAATAAATAAATATATATAATTAAAAAATATACTCTTAAAATTTTAATAACATTTAAACAATAATTTCAAATTTAATCATAAAAGATAACCAAAATATTCTTTTATATTATGAACTAAACTTATATTCATTTGAAGAAAAATACTGAGGTTTAATATACAATATATTCTACAACACTATAACTCTTTCTTTTTGTATTTTTAGTTTTATCTTTTTTGCTGTGTTTCTTTTTATATATATATATATATATATATATATAAAACATCATTCGATCATTATCTCTTAGTAGTTTTTTGAAAAGGAAATTCAGAATACTTTTTGTATTCAAAAGACTTTTGATATTGTACATTTCATAATCGCATATAATGCGATTACTTAAACATTACGATAGGATTCAACAAAAAATTCAAGACAGTTTTTATACCTAAATAGAGATCACTTAAAATCGAACTAATCGTTACATGATATTTGTAACGTTTGTAAGATTTTAAATCAATAGAGTGACATGCAAGACAACCAATTTCTTCTAATGCAATATGAGGCTCAGATCCACCAAGTAACGATTCATCTTTTAATCCATTATTTAAGAGTGTACCAGAAAACCAAATTTTATCACCTGGATATATATTTAGACTAAAATTAGTAAAAGAATGATCCGCAACTAATAAAATTTCCGCATTGTTTCCCCACATGCCACTCTTCATTTTAACTGAAATCTCAAATTCATATTGATTCCAAGAAGGAAAGTAACATTTGTTTCTTCGTTTTTGAATGTTTGCAAAATGCCTACAATTTTCTTGTCTTAATTTATCATTCGAATCGCAACTATTTAGATATGGTTCACCATACATACAGCTAATTATATTTCTAATACTATCAGGCAGTTTATTAAATATTGCAGCTATATTATTTTTTATCGATTTTAACTTAATATTTGTTACATAACCTTCCCATGAAATTAATATTCCTTCTAAATCAGCACATTGAATTTGCACCTGTGCCTTGGATGATAACTCTTCCCATGCAGGCTGATGGCAATGATTTTGATATTGTTCCCATGAAAGTGATGAAACGCTTTCATATGAATCTGGTTCTTGCTTGAATTCCATTATCATAGGCCATGATAAAAATATGCCAGCACTGATGCCCATGATTAACTATGAAATTATTATAGCAATTAAAAGTTGTATTTGTTGTAATTCTTCAATTAATATATTTACCTGAATAACAGTAATTATCCAATTAAGTTTGGGAGTTCGAGTTTTTCTTAAATACCAAGAGGCAAGAAATGGCATTCCTCCCAATAAAGTAGTTACACCTATTCTCATTGCTAAATCACTTTCTGACAAATATTTAGCAGCAGCTATGATTGGCAAAATAATAGAGGCTAATCCAGCAAGTGGTAAAAAGAGAACCATACCAACTAATGCAAGAGCACCTCTAATTAGGCCATACCATGTTGCACCTTGAGAACTAAATATCGCTATTTGCCACCAACTTAAAGTAACACAATGAGGTATCAAAGTTTGATAAGTTCCTCGCCAATTATCGCGAGCTGCCATTTTTGCAAATACTGCTGGAATCAGGAGATAAAAAACTGCACGAAAATTCAAACAAAATTCGATACCGTTACCAACAACATATGAAGCAAATGTTGGAACTCTTATATCCAAAAATCTCCAGCCTTGAGCAACTACAATATCTGTTTCATATGGATACTTTGCTAAAACATGAACACCGAAACTGAAGAGAGCTAAAAAATCTGGAAATTTGGAAGAATCTTTCCACATAAAATTTAACAACGTTATTAATGTTAATGCAACTGCTATAATAGTAAATTCTGACTGAGGTGTCCATTGATGAGCAATAATAGGATAGGTCATTAAATTTACAAGCAAAGCAAGAAAAAAATGACCATAAGGTTTAAGATTATTACAGCAAAATTGATATTCTGCTTCATCGGGATTTAGATTTCCACCGGAATAATTGAGGAATAAGCCAGACCAAACACGAAAATTATTAAATTCACGTTTTCGTTGTAACATTTGAAAAGTAGCAATAACCATAATAATAAAAGATAAATAATATAGAGCCATTGGTATAAAGAGTATAAGACTTTCTGTACCAAATAATGAATATAATAAGAGAAGTAACAATATATGGGTATTTGATGTAAAAAGAATCTTCTTAATTGACATTCCTCTTTGACCTAACGTTTCTATCAACCAAATATACAAACGTTTCAAGGAAGCAAGTGGATGAATAAGAGGCCTTTGTAACAATGGTATAGTATCTAATGCCATTTGAGAACGATCTATCATACACATAGCATGTGAAACTATTGGGAGCATACCACGAGCATAACTAGCAGCAGCAGAAACAAGAGCTGCTTCTGTAATTTTTTCCCCTTGATGATCCATCCAATCTAAAAAATAATTCCATAAATAAATCTTGGCGTTTATTATATTTATAAGAACTATATTGTCCTTACCATGGTTATTACTTTCTTTATCTTCATCCTTTTTAGGTGTACAGTCTTCAGGAAGCCCATTTTTAGGAAAATTATCAGTTGAAATATCATTTATATCTTTCTGTGAATTATTGTGTAACACATTATTTGAATAAGAACAATTATAATTAGATGAATTTGATGCTATGTCTTTCATACGTCTTTGTAGTTGCTCTGTTGTGATAAAATCTTCACCATTTGATAGACTACCAATAAACAATATTATAATTAAGAAATCATACAGATAAAAAAAAAATTATTATGTTATAAAAATACCTAGTGAATGTTAATAAAATACCTAGTGAACATTTCTCTTGCTGCTTTTCTGGCTAATTTTTCATCTTGAGTCATATCAAGACAACTTTTAACATCATAATAATTATGTTGTGTGATACCTCGACCAGTGGCTAAACATTTTCTAAGTATATCTGTTGCTTCTAAATTTCCTTGTTCTGAAGCTTTTGTAAGCCAATATACTCCCAACTTTGCATTTTCTTCTTTATCCACATCTAAATCTGAATATATAATTATATTGATATGTAATATTTTATATTACATCACTAATTTTTAATAATTTTTAATTTTTAATAAAATGCATTAAATATATTAAAATTCATATATTAATTTAAATATAAATAAAAATTTGCATTGTTACCACATCTTTCTTCCAATAATTGTTTTGCTAAAACTACTTGAGATTCTGGACAACCATCTTCAGCCAATTGTGACCGTAGTCTTCTAAGAGATCCTCTTGGCCCATCTAAAATTATGCAATTGAATCATTATTTCCTAAATTGATAAAAAAAATAATTTTATTTCTGATAAAAAGAAATTAATTGCATTTTACCCATTTTATCTTACATAATTCAATTCTTATGTTATTCTACAATAAAAATCATATCATTAATAATTGTTTTTTTCTTTCTTTTTTTTTTTTTTTTTTTCAATTTTTCATTTGTCAAATTTTATTTCAAAGAATAAAGCATTTAGATATTTGATATTTTTCTAAAAGTTTACTTATATTTGACATCTATTATTTAACATTTATCTTCATTATAAAAGTATAATATTATTTAAATAGATATATGATTAAATTGCAAAAGAAATGAAAATTGTAATTTTTATGAAAAAATAAAAACTGAAATTGTTGCGTTACCATGCAATGTCCATTGTTTTCTACCAGATTTACCAGACAGTATAATACCAGCCATAGCTCCAAAAATTAGAAAAATGGCTACTATGATATTTTTATTTTTATTATTAGTTTATCGTATTATTAAATTATTCACTATCAAAAACTTATATTATATTATAACATTGAAAATTTCTTAATAAAACGACTGTTAAAATATTAGCATAAAAACATGATATATTACGCATGCGCAATTACTAAAAAAGGTTAGGTTGTTGTATAAACGTCAAGATACGTATTAAAATTAAAATTAATAAACACAAATAAATTCAAATATATTTTTAATAAAATATATATTATAATTTAATGAGATATTTAGTAATTTTTTATTTATTTTATTTTTAATACATTAAGAAAGATATTATTATATTAGTCTATTATTAATTCTGATTTATATTTTTTTATATTGTATTTACTTGCAAAATTTTGTAAATTTTATATTAAATTTAATAAAAAAAATATATATTATTATTATATATATTAATATAATATATATTATATTAAATTTAATAAAGAATTCTTATATTGCTTTTTTTCACTTTATTGAAAATTTTGGAATCAAGATAATTTTGAAATTGGATTTGAAAAATAGGATAAAGGAATTTGATTACACGGATTTTAAGTAAAAAACATTTAGTTTAGAACGGTATGTTTTATTAATTAATGTCATATGGCACCATTGTATTTATATACATATATAAAATGTATATTGTAAAACTAATTAAAAGTTTTAATTTAAATATTAAATATATGTATATTATACATATTTTTCTAAATGATTTTCTTAATATAGATTATATAAAAAGGATTTTTTTTTATATAATATACTAATTTGCTATATTAATTATGATATCTTTTAAATTAAACATATATTTTTACTATCGTGATGCAATATAAAATATTTTTTTTATTAACTTTAAATAAAATTTATGATAGATATTACGATATCAAATTACGAAGCAACAGATAATATGGAGCCAGTTTTAATGATTTTGCGATTTTCCTGTAGTTACGATAGAAAACCGTTACTAATTCAGCAAAACCACGTTTTTTCTGGCTCCTCGTGTAGTCAGAAATCTGCTCGAATGCCGACTCTGAGAAATTAATAACGTATATGGAAAATAATTTTGACAAGCATGGAAATTATCAGTTGGTACTTACAAATTGCTTGGTCCTGTGTAAGGTGGTGGATTTGGTCGAATATATGGATTGCAACGTTCATTAGAAATTCTGTTAAAATATAATCAAAATATAGAACTTGAGCTATTATCAATAATAACGATAAGAGATTTACGATTGATATATTTTTTATCCTAAATTAAAAAAGATATGCACCTGGGACTTGGTAGCAAAGAATCATTAGGACTGGAAGGTTGAACGGAGAGCGATTTTAAGATACCTCTTTCGGCAGCATATTGAACCATTTGTATATTATTGCTAACTCCTTCTCCTGTTGAAGTTTCTCTCTTTTCTCTATAAAATAAATAATCAGGATATTAATCAGTTAAATAACTTATAATATAATATAATTTTTTTCAGATCAAATAAACATTTAAGAATCACTTAAAATTGTTAGCGAAAATATATTTTATTAAAAATATTAATATGATCAAGTTAATGTCAAAATCAAGATATACTTGATTTTTTGTTTTTCACCGTAGAAAATATTAAATAATTCATAGAAATATTTTTCAGATTTGGAATCGTTCCTATGGAAAAAAAGAAAGAAGAAAAAATTAATTGTTCTTTTTTTCGATGCACGCTTAAAATGAATAATACAAAGGGATATACAATGTTGAAAAAAAGGAGACGAGGAAATAAAAAGATCTCATCGATCAGTGAAAATTTATATTGAAATTGACCAAATGGATTTAGTTTAGGTAAACTTTGTATTATATTCTTTTTTATGAGTCATATCAATGATGACGCGCATACGTACTATTCCTGTTTTCGCATAACCCGTATTATCTGTAGCTTAATTACCTTGATCATATATGTAGATCACGAGCTGTGACCCTCTTATATATCAATATGTACGTAATTTAGTTTCACTGTCGATCATTGTTGTAATTATACACGATTATACGATTTACGTATCGTTGTGAATATATGACATTCAAATCAGATTATTTTGCGCAGATATGCGATTTTACACAATGAGATCTTAGGATAAGCTTCAGATATATATATATATATATATTTCTAATATGCCGAATATAATACGATTAAATGCAGTCGAAGCAGATACGTAATATAGATAAAATCCTATTGAGGTAAATCACATATACTACTGTTTAAATGAAAATTACTAAAATTAGATTCCATTTTTAAGAAAATAAATACATTTATAGACTATATTACCATCGATTACATGAACATAATTGCTTTTTCAAAGGAACGATGTAGATAATTATAAATGGGAATCGTTCAACTGTTATAAAGTATCGAGCGATTGCAAACCATGAACATTTCTAACGAAGATCGATCGCTAACAATACTTTTTGTTTTGTCATCATATATATTTACACAATCTTTAGAAATATAATATAAGATGCAAAGTAGATGAAATGTATTTCATCAAGCTTAAATTCAGAGAAAAAGTCATAGGTAAAGCAATAAGAAGCACGAATAATCGGTGACGCAATCATCAAGGTCATTCGTTTATAAATAGATCATATTTTATGGAGTTAGATTTCGTCTACTTTCAAACAGAAACGTTGTCAACGCATTGCTGAATTGCGCAAAATGAACTTAATTATTACGATTATTTCTTGACGATTTTCTAATCGATGGGAACTGGTTTAACGATTTCGTTGCGTCACGAGTAAGCTCGATATCGCATAATAATTCTTGTTTTTTTCTCGTGCAACGCCTACACGCCTGATATTTATTATAACAGGATAAAACAAAAAAGCTATGATTTCTATCTTTTTATAGAGAACGAAACAAAACGAACAATGAAAAAATATTTTTAAAAATGAACACGAGTTAATCGATTTTAAATATTTAAGTTGTCCACTTTTATCGATGGTGCATAGTATGTAATAAGTATCGTACGCATTCTTCTTAATTCAAATGATTCCGTATCTTGAACAAGTAGTTAGGCACGACCAAAAGCTCGGTAGATTAATGATGCGCTACATACTTCAATGATAAGTGAACTGTGTATATTAATCGACGTACGTTGTGGCACATAGGTCGCGATGTAACCCGATTTCTATTTATATCCGTTGCTATTACACGTGCATTTCTAAGAGAAAAATCGCTTATTTATTTATATTTAAAAATATCTCATTATTTATTGTAATACATGCACGTATTTTCATCCATCACTCTTTTCATTTTATATTCTGTTTCTCAAAAAATATTTCTTTGTTAAATTTCAAATTAAATGTAACCAATTAAATTTATATTATCAAGTATAAAGAGCACTCATAATTTCGCCGCGTACAGACAACGGCGTTCATGCTTATCAAGCACGCGATTCGCTGTAACCGTATTTTCGATCGCAACGTCCAGCACGTTACTACTTGACCAGATATCGTAGCTGTTTATGAATGAAACCAGTTGTAGTAGCAGCCCCCTCTATCCGCTCTTAACGCCCCTACCACTTATATTCGTTCCTCATACTGCTATACATTGGAATTTATTTCTCGAGCACGTGCTTCGTATAGAATGACAAATATTTCAATTGACATTCTTTTGATCACCGTTATTCACATGTACCGCGTTTCGTATTCCCCGATTTTATCGGGAAATAAAAAAAAAATCGAAGTTCGAATATTGAGAAAGAAATTCATATTGAAACAACGAAAAGAAACGACTGGCATATATACTCACATTTTCTCGTGATCCAGGCACAACAGCATGCTGAGCAAAGCGGCCAATACGAAAAACAGAATAACAGACACAAAGATCGTGGTGACAATTTCTTCAAAGTAACTTCTCGTGGGAATGCTGGCTTTGGTCGATCTGGCCCATCGCCACTCCGTGTGCTCTGAAATTCCTGAAGCCGGTAAATCCAATCCAACGTTCATACTCGGTCCCCGTCTCGCGCTTTCTTGTTGCAAACTTTGTTGCTCCTGTTCGACCTAAAACACATAAAATATAATCATCATAATCTAAAATATAATCTCGTGAATTTCTGATGCGAACCGTTTCAATTTGTAAACGGTAAACGAAACTTACCAATCTGAAGGAACACCAATCCAACGCGAATCTTGCTTCTCTGAAGAGTCTCTCGACACTGGTACGTTTAAAATCTCGAGGACAGGAGCGTAATTTCCACAAAGGTTTTACTTCTTCTTGCAGCTCGTTCAACTCTTGGGAGAATGGCATCGAACTTCCTAACCTTATAACAACTCTGCCACGAAAAAGGAAAATGCAGGTTTTCACGCGTTACTCGTAGACTTTTAAAATTTTCGCGGATAAATTACACCTGTGCGACACGCGTGTACGTGTTCCATGGCACGTTGAACGTCTGGCCTAGCGTTTAAAGTTGCGTCATGATTTTCCTGTTTGTGCATTGCTTCCCGTTATCCGTTATCTCGGTCGAAAGTCAGGGATAATCCCGCCTGCTAAGAAATATAATTTCCATTCGTCTCGATTCGGCCGATGACATTTAGACCATGACGAAGTGCTTTTTAAAATTAATTTTTCTTTTTACGAAACATCTCCTTCGCGTTGGAAATTTTTATGATGATTGAACGAAAAAAATTATCGTTAAAATCATTCGTTTATTTAATTAATTAATTAATTAATTAATTAATTGGCGCATCATTAAGTTTTTTTTTATATAACATGTAATTAAAAGATTTGATTTTAATCACGTAATTATATCCGACTAATAGATTCCTATTGTGTTTTGAAGAAGCGGCACTATGCGTTTTCCTTTATTTTTTATTTTCTATTTTATATCACGTATGATGTATCGGAAATATGATGCATTACGATATACGATGATTCCAATGAATTGGAAAATGTATCATCGCATTAAAAAAAGCTTAATAAAAATAAAAGCATCCGTTTATGCTATATTCTTAATCATATTGTAAAATACGAGACAATTGTCTATTATAATTTTGCGAGATACGATAAACGATGCAGAAAATATACAAATTCTTTTATCGCATCCGTTTACATATTTCTTGGATATAAAGGATATCAATGAGAAAGTTTCATCTAGATATATTATCGCGTAATGCGGTGGGAGATATACCACTGTTGACGTCTAAAAGTATGATGGAGGAGAGTAAACAGGCTAGCCGGAAGCCATTCAGTTAGTTAACTTGGACAAGCGCGCTGACAATATCGCATTTACATGTATACGTTACCAAGTTACTTAAATCGTGTCTGCAACTGATATAATATTAAGTTCAATAAGTGCGATTAATATATCACATTTGTTTTATCACATATATTTACTTGATTTTAATTATGTGTGTCAGTGTTTTATTTATGAAAAGGATAGATTTTATATTCTTCAATGAACGCATCATTTTGAAAGATCATCGAATAGAATTATTAGCGAAATTTTATTTAAAAAAATTCGATTCATTTTTCTCGATCTTTGAATATGATTCAAAGCTATCTATGCTGCGAAATTTTGAAACATTTGTTTCATAAAGAGAGTGTCATGAGAATTTGACAGTTTTGCATTGTTACAAAGAAGAAAATTTTATGAATTATGAATTCTTATCTACGCGATCAGTGATTTCTTTTTCGTGCCGATCTAAAGTAGTGATTCTTCTAATCGGTGTTTCTTGTAACACTAGTGTCTCGTAAAATTATAAAAGCGGCGTATTAAGTTTTATAATTCTTAATAATAGGTATATTCATGTGTATTTTAGTTGTTAGTTTTATGACCGTCCCATGAAAAACCACCGTGAAAAGATTAAAAATCACTGATCTGAAAAATTATTTATATTCTTTTAATATTTGGAAGAAATAGAAATAACACAATGATAAATATATTAAAGCAAACGGTCGAATCAGTCGAATTACTTTAATCGGAAATAAATTTCATGATGAAATGAAAAAAGACGTTGTCATTTATTCATAACGTAGAATAACGCAATACGCAGAATTCGAAGTTAATGCAGAAAATGAAAAGAATAAAAAAAACGTGATAATAATGTATAAGATTTATATAAATCCCTGATGATTATCTATAACTACAAAATGGTTTTAAAATCTATATTTTCCATATATTTACGAAAAGTCTTAGAAAGGAATCACTTCTAACAAATAAAATTTGTTGCGGTTTAAAGTCAGATTACGTAATAACAGCTATTGAAAATGCGAATATTCGATGGGACGGTCTTTGTAATGTTTCCATAGATGACTATCTTTAATGACGCGTGCACTTTTCATAGCAACTAACTGTAGAAATTTTTCATGGGTCGAATATATATTGTCACCGCGATAACAATCTATGTCTATAACCATATTAGACGACGTAATTGCAAAAGAAATGGCAATTACCCATTTAAAAAAAAATTCGAAGTGGAACGTGCGTCATAATGTTGTTTTCCGTTGATCGGTCGAATAATACGTCAGCGATATCGAAACGCTGAATCCCATTGAATCGTTCGATAATTATTATAATGGCTGACGATAATAGAATTGCATAACTGTATATCACATCTGAATCTTATTTTTCTCCCTAATCTCATCACATTTGATTTTCAAATGAGACTTACCCTTCGCCTTCACTTGGCTTCAGAGGCAAACGAGCGCCAAGCTCGACTGCAGATGCTAAAAAAGTTACGTATAAATTCACTGCATCTTTCCATAACCTCTTTCTGTAAATAAAAAGAAAAAAAAGAGAAAGCTTGATCCAACACAATATAGGACATCGGAAATCTTTTTCCTTGAAATTTATCGACAAACCTAAATATATCGAGAAGCTCATTAGTTCTGTTCCGATTGAACATGTCCTCCACGTTTAGATTATCGATTTTTAAATGAACCTCATACTTAGTTAGATTTTCTTTCTCGAGAACGTTCATGTCGAGAACTTTGTATCTAGTTTCGTAGGTATATTTGTTTAGACCTACAATCTCCAGCTAAAAATCACATTTTTTTCATTAAAACTAATTATTAATTAGTTTTAACGCTAGACAAGACAGATCACCTGAAAATATTTTTGATTCTTAGGCGCAACACCATATACAAAACCATGATGATCTCTTTTGCTATATGTATAGTGAATCCATGATGGAAGATCAGGCGCATTTAATAACGAGGGTTGATACGAGAATTGATCGGAACGTGCTGAAAGAAATAAACGAATCATAGTGACTCGTTAGTCATTGGGAAATATCTAGGTTAAAGTACTTATTCGTATATACTTTGAATAATTTAATTCCAAGTAATCATACTCATCGTCGTTCACAGAAAGATTGCACCCGTTTCCGAGAAAGATCCACGGAAAACAGTTTGATTCGTAAGCGTTACCAATTAATTAATGATGCGTCGCGTCCCATAGCGCCACGCCATTCGTGATTCTCGTATGACGTCGCGTTAGAAAGTACCGATATACACGTGACAGTGTCAGCTGTGAAACCACGATATTCGCTAAGTTTCTTCAAAGCGTGAATCGATTGGTATTCATAAGGCAATGCGAATGACGCGCGAAGGTACGCTTTAACTTTCAACCCGTGAATCAAGATAACGGGTGACGACCGAAAATTGTCTACTGTTTGATAGACCCTCATTTCTAGGTTATTTCTGTATGATCGTTCGTTTCACAATTTCCGTATATATATTTCCGTAATGTCAATGCGATATAAATGCGATGCAAATCTTTCTCGATGTCATTGTTTATGATCAAATAATATCTTTCCTTCTTACCATCATCGTTCCAGTCGAAAGTCTCTGGTTTGATTGGAATAATGAATACTTCAGTCATTAAGATGCTCTCTGCGTTCACGAAGGCCACTATTGCCAATAACATTACTACGTTTGACAGCATATTCATTGCTGTATCTGAAAAATAAAGATAAATGATACTCTTATTGTCACCCGATTAATATTTGATTAAACATTCGATTGTACAATTATTGCGAGTCTGCATTTTTTCGATTTCTCGACTTTAATCTTTTCTGTGATCACGCGCAATCATGGTCGACATTGGTATCATCGATTTTCTCTTATGATTTTTTTTCTCTTTTTCTTCGTTTCTCTCTGTTAATTAGGGAATATTCAAAAGTTATAGTGGAATGTGGAGATTTCGGTTTGTTGAAAATATCGTGCCCGTTCGTTATCGACAATTGGTCGATTCGAGGGACGAATGCTCGCGATGAAAATAGACGCGATAATTTCGTGGTCTGGCAGACGACAAACGAATCGCAGGAACCTCACAAGAGACAGGCACACTGACAGCGCGGATCAGCTTACGGAACGTAAACTAGCCACTCACGGAGGTGATACTTTACCGGAGCGAACGACACTGTCGAAAGGCAGGTTAAAATGATGCAAGTGCAACGTCAAGTCAAAAACTATGCTACAGTTCATGTACAATTCATTTTTTCTAACTTTGAATTTTTAATAATTACTTGAAATTATTATATGATTAGTGATAATTAACTAAACATTCTCTCATCTTTTTCCTTTTTTGTTCTTGACACTATTCCTGAATACGTATAATTAAACGCACTTCGTTGAATTAAGCAATTCGATTCATGATTTATCGTTGATCATTTGTTATTAATCCATTTTTATAGTGCATTTGAATACAAATTAACTTTAATAAAAAAAACAAATTTTAAATAAAAATAAGATGTAAACGTAAACGGAGCATAAGAGCGCGTGCGTTTAGCCCTTCTCATGCGCAGCTGGAACATCGTTTCCGACAATCGTTTTCAGGAGCGTACAAATCATATACCTATAAATCCACGTTTTATTTTTATAAACGCTTTAATATTTTTTCTATCTTTCTATTCATATTTTTATTAAAAATTAGTTAAAATGAATGAAACTTTTTATCACTTTATATAGTTTTAAGTTGTACAATATTGAAGAAATTTATTAAGCAAAATATACTTTTCAAACTGTACCTGTATCATTAAAATACTATAGATCTCCGATACAAATTTACAGCATCGTGTCTCGCGCACGCGTATCCTTATCTGAACTAAACTTCCGTTTCGGTGATTATCGCAACGCTTTTAGTAATTCTCGATAATTTAGCAGCATATGTCTCAGAGACTAAACAACTGGCGGAGAACGTAACCAAACAATTACAAACTTATCAATCAAGCAAAATTCTGTTCAATCGATTCATAAAAATGATCAGTTTTGATCAATTACTGTTTATGACTTCGCGAAAGCTTCGAATCGCGACGAAACTAACTTGATTACGATCAAATGTTACAAATTTTATTCGAAAATTTATCGATATAAAACAATATTCATGATTTTCTTAATAAATCAAAAATCAGGAAAGAAAATTGCTATGTTTCTAATATATTGTGAAAAAATATCGAAATAAATCGATTAATTCGCAATTTATATTCGCAAGATCAAGAATTATAACGAAGTTTAATTAGTTTTTCTAGTGGTTTTAAAAAGAAGCGCATAAGTGAAGTGTGTATGTCGTGGCATAGAATGGAGTAGCATACGTAACACTGAATGTGAATCACGGAAATGCATATTGTATCATCAATAGGGCCCAGAGTCTTCACATAGCACGTTTCCGACGTGCACGGCACTGCCTATTGACGTCTGCAGTAGGCGTGGTTTTACTGTGGCCGATAGAGGGATATATTTACCTCACATACAACTTTTCCCTCTGGTGCGCGAACGAGCCTCGCGTTATTCGATTAATAATGTGTATTTCCAGTGCGAGGTTTGATGCGACCGGTGCACGGCGCGAAACCGTGGCCACTCCTCGGCACAGGGGTTGATTCCTCCGGACACGCGGACCTTTCCCGGCCGGGGGTGACTTTTCAAATCTAATTATTCGATTCGAGTGCTCGTGTTAACGGAAAATCAAGTCGTCCGAGTTAGTGCTCGGTCTTGCGACGACACTCTCGACGCAGTGCAGTGTACTTGATTTGTGTCAATCCTTCTGACAATCTTTTGCATTGATTTTTACATATTTTTTCTACATTATCATCGATGTCCTCGTGATCATCGAGTAAATTCGATATTTATCTTTTCTCTTCAATTATAAGACTGTGCGCTTCTTTCAAAACTTTCCCTTCTTGACACATTGAAGAATGGCGGGTAATAGCGTTCCGGTCTTATTGGTCACTGCAAATGTTGGCAGTATTTTCGAGGAGGTGAGTGTACAGGATTTTTTTATTTTTCCTTTCTCTTTTTTCTTTTCACCATTTCACTAGCTCTGAACGATCGATTGATTGCGCCTCACAATTTACCTTCGAACGTGATACGACTTATTTCTTTCATCTTCTTTCATCATCTTTTCTTTTCTCTTTTTTTTCTTTCAGTTTAGAGTCAGCAGCTTTGCGCGCGTCTTTTGTATTATACTATACCGATAATATGCTGCTGATTCTTATTTGTTTTTTACAATCACTCTTCATTCATCATTTTTCTCTTTTGTTTTTCTCATTATGCTGACCATAAAATGTCATGATCCCGCATGTATTAATTGTATTAGTAATGTTAACGCGCATAGAATCAACGACAGAATCATTATCAACGATCTTCCGTAATTATATCTTTCTTGTTACTTTCGTAATTTTAGATCGAATTAAATTATGCCTTTTATTCGATTGATTGATATATATGAATCAATATACATGCATAACATATACACATTAATAACATTAACATTGCGTGATTTTGCATTTGCGTGATCAAATTTAGATTTTCCATATATAGATCAATAAATTTAATAAAATAGCGATATATAGCAGAATATATTTTTAAATTTCATGTAATTTTTTTTCTCAATTTAAATTTTTAATCAAAACATATGATACATATAAAATGCGTGTCCTTTTTACAGCCTAGCGTGATGTTAAAAATTTGGACGGAAGAATTTTTATCTGTAAGTATTATAGATAACATGCGTTGTCATTGCGTAAATATAACGAGTATTTACATTCACAAAGAATGCTTTTCAGACTATACTGAGGTTGGATCCAAAATTTATTGCACTGCACTGCCAAGAAGTAGGTGGAAAAAATTATGAGCACAGTACCAGACAAGTGGAAGATTTTGTTAGGTAACTTTCTATATTTTCTTTTTTATTTAAAAAATTCTTTTTTATCTATTCTACAGTCACTAATGATTATATCGTATTAAGGGTAAAAAAAATACTCCAGTTAAAATCTTATTAAGGTAAAGCTTCTTGAAAGGCTTCTTTCTGACTAAAGAGGTCTTTAATCAAAGTTACAGTTGCATAACAAAATGCATGACAATATTTATTCAAATATTATTGCTTCTTAAGTATATAAAATATTTATGGAATAGCATACAGAGGTATCAACAAGCCTTTTTAAAACTATACTAAGACAAATAGGTTTCTCTGATCATGATACTGAATGTGATTTAACGCATAAGTGGCAGAAAGGGATAAAAATAGATTATCACGCATGGTTCTATGGTTGAATGAACCACTTCAAAAGATGAATTTATCGAATGATATTCATAGGGGAGTAATGTAAAAAAAAATATGTTTAAAAATATAGTAGATCTTCAAGTTACTGTATTAGCTTTAACATTTGTACTTTTCTTGTAGAGTTTAATTTCATTTAAAAGATTCTTTGTTGCAGATTATTAATGTCTTCCGAAGAATTAAGGCTGTTTGATAAAATTAGAGTATTCTTAGATGAAGATTATTCATCTGCTGAACATTTTACGGTAAGCAAAAAACAATTAATGATAAAAAAAATATATTTCATTATGGATAAAATTACTAATTTTTTTTTGTAATTATTCATAATATATTTTTCAGGCACTTGGAAATTTTTATTTTGTGCATGAATCTTTGAAAAACGTTTTATTATGGGATTTCCAAGGTATGACATAATGTTTGATTAATATGACTAATAAATTAAAATAATTATTATTATAATAATAATTATTATAATTTTATTTATAATTTATAAATTATTATTATAATTTTAGAATGTACTTTTATATCCGTAAATGGAAAGGAAGTTCATTCTGGTAACATAGAAGCAGTCACAACCAAAGAAAAAGCTAAGTTTCCTCAGGAATTCTTTCCAGAATGTAAATGGTCTAGAAAAGGATTTTTAAGGACACGATGGAGTATTAGTGGAACAGTTTTTGATCTCATAAATATACATTTATTTCATGATGCCAGTAATTTTATTGCTATGGAAACAGTAAGTAATTTATATTATAAGATGCTTTAATAACTGATTTATTTATTTTGATAATTTATTTTCAGTTTCCATCCGTATATAGTAAGACGCGTAGAAGAGCACTCGAGCATACATTAGATAGGTTTCATAATGATAAATATTCAAATGTACCATATTTTTTATTTGGAGACTTTAATTTTAGGACAGATACAGCCGGTGTAATTAAAGTAAGTATGAAATAAAAAATACGAAAGTTATATTCTCATAAATAATGAAATTAAAATAATTTAAAATTTTATATTTTTTCTTTTATACAGAAACTTACAGAAGATACTCAAGAGAGAAGATTATCAAACAAAGGAAGCATTTCAAAGCTACAATTTCATAATAAAGACGATGATCTCATATTAACATTAGGAAAAAAAGAATTTTCTCATTATGAGCATCAGAATGTTTTTGTGAAAAATAATGGACAATGGGTAAGTAATTCGTAACTCGAATTTCTCATTGTATAATGTTACTTATAATACTGCATTGACGATTAGGAAGACCATAATGAAATTACGAATATTTATATAGCTACGTGAATATGATAGAGAGCTGGAAGACTTTGATGGAAGATTATTTGAATTTCCGATTAAATTTGTACCCAGTTACCCATTTGAAGAAGATATCAATGAAGGTTCAAATTATATGCAAACAAGAGTACCGGCTTGGTGTGACCGTATTCTACTGAATCCTACCGCTAAAATGCTAGTCCAAGATGTATGAGATACTGTTTATTTAATTATATCTTTTTTAAATAAATATATTTTTATACGAATAATTCTTTATATAATTATTTTTTTTAATTATTTATTTTTATTTTAGATATCATCACCTGATACTGTAGAATATGGAATAATAGGTCCAACAATTTGTATGGGCGATCATAAGGTGAGTCAATCTTTTAATATAAAAGGAAAGACATTAGTTCATTTTACTCTTATGCTGGGTTAATATATTTACACACTTCCTAGTTATTATTCTGACGATTCATTCTTTTAATTATTATGGTGCAGCCTGTTTTTCTGGAGTTTCGAATGAATCTCTAAGCACTAAGGTACCTATCTATCAACTGTCTGCTTACTTTTATCTTGATTTTTCCATTTAAAGTATCCTCTATTTTTTCTAATATTTCATTCCACTATTTATACAACTAGAAGCTTGTTAATGTAGTTGGTTCAGTATCTTTTTTTAAATTCACTTTTTTAATAATTTACAATTTCATAATTCTACTTGGCCTTTTTTATACTCGTTGCTGTCGAAAATAGAAAAAGTTAAGTATATTTTATTAAAAGTATGGATTTCATTGCTTCTTTAAATACATTTTACTTACAATTAACAAGATTAAAATAAATTATTAATCTAAAAACATTTTAATATTGAAGAATTGTATACTGAAAAAAGTTTGATATTCATTTTTATAATCAAAATAAAATATTTTTCAGAATTCTATCAAAATTTTCAGCACCATTTCTATAATACTATCAAAATTTTCTTATCGTATCGTTTCCCTGAATTAAATTAATGTTAGTTAGACTTTTTATAGAATCCTATCATATGAAGAATGTCCCTCTCCATTTCTTCATAGAGATGCACGATAATACATAAGGATCGTCCATTTTTTCCCGTTTGCAGCCAGTCTATTTGAGGGCTAATCTCATCGTGGACGAAGGTATGATAAACTGCTGCAGCTTGCCGAGTGCACCTGAGTTTTGCTTTCGAGTGCCAAACAATTACGTGGAATTGTTATCCATGTTGCCTGATTACAGTAGTTGCGTTAGCGGACGAGTCAATTACACGGATCGTTCAACTAATCTGTTGCACGCAGCACCTATTAAGCATGATCCTTATACCCCGGATAGTATGGACAGTCCGAGTCCAAATGCTATAATAATACCTTCGAGTGATGCTCCAGATATAGACATAGATATGAACAATACATCTATGTCACATTTTGCACAGACATCGAATATTAGACGCTTGGACAGAGCTGTGTCGCCAGCTCTCTTGAAATCCAAATTAGAACTAATTGTTCGGAGTAAAGGACAGGAGACGGATATAGATCAAGATACGATCGATATTAAAAAAAGTCCTAGTGATTATTGTTTACATTCGTGGTCCAATTCCGAAGAACAACAATGGACTGCAAGAACGAATAGATGTAATAGCGATGTATCCTGGCAAAGATCTCATCTGTTAACTGAAGCTTGGATTCAAGGTAAAGGACAACAAGGATATCATTCTTTTGGAGATTTTATCAATCGATCGTCCTTAGATTCAACTCCACCAAATGGTGAGGGTTTGCCTTCAGATTTAATTATACCAAGAATATCAATTATAAATGCTAGCAATTTTGAATCAAACGAGAGTTCTGTATACTTACATGACGATAAATATAGTAATTATTCAGATAAGAAACTGAGCACTTATTCAGACGACCGAACAAAGAGTTTGAGTGGTGAAGCATTTAGTTCAGAAAAGTCGGATGAACTTTGTGACAA